TAGGATTACCTCGCTTCTGGGAGATTTTTGACAGACTGGATACGCTGATAGGCTCGGGCGCGGTAACTTCAGAGACATGTGCAGAGGGGAATGAAGGTTAGGGGCTGAGGGGTGGCCGGCAGAGGGGAATTCCAGCTTCAGGTGGGGGAAGGGAAAGCAGTCTACGTAGAACACCTGCCCTGGGATGGCTGGAGTGACGTTTCTTAGGAACCCCAAATATCTTTTTTTAAAAAAATCATTTTATCGGGGGCTCTTACAGCTTTTCTGACAATCTATACAGCCATTGTGTCAAGCACATTTGTACCTCTGTTGCCATTATCATCTTGGACAAGTGGATGTCCTTTCCCTGATGCTATGAGGTGACTTGCCAAACGCAGGATTTGAGGATGGGTCTGGTACTGGTAGCATCTCAGGTGGCTAAGACGTAGAGTCTCTGCATGTGATGACTTCCTTCCACCCTGATCTTGGCTGGCCTGGACATCCAACGTATTACAGCATTCTTCTCACAAAGGCCACTGCCCTCAGGTCAAGCCCAGTGCATGGCGACCTTGAAGGCCGGAGCAGAACTGCTCCATCGGGTTTCTGAGGCTGGAAATATTGATGAAAGCCCCCAGCCTCATCACTCTCCTGTGGATTGGCTGAGAGGGTCCAACTGCCTGCCTGCCCGTTAGTAGTCCAACCGTGCCCCCACTGTGGCACCGGGTGCCCTACACTTCTCAGGACTGTTCTGTCAATTTGAGATCTGCCCCAGGATTTGCCAGTGTCTTCAGCAGTGGGCACAGTAGGCTTTTGAAGGACTGGGCATGTCCCCATTGTACCACAAGGGACCCGTTAGCATGGGTGTAAGAAACTCAACAGTTCACTGCCAACACGTCCATGCCAACCCATCAAGACCCTGTAGGACAGGGCAGAACTGCCCCAGGAGTTTGGGAGACTAACCGTTACAGGAGCAGAGAGCCCAGTCTGTCCCCTTCGAAGCTGCTCATGGTTTCCAGCTGCGGATTGCAGCCCAAAACGAATGGGTGCAGGCAAACGTTTTCTGTTAGGTGCCCGATATTAAATAATTTAGCCGTATAGCGTCTGCCACTGTAATGCAAAAGCAGCCGCAGCAAACCATCACGACGATGTCATTAAAGTCGGATTTACCAAAACACAAATCGAGGTTTGTTGACCTCTGCTCTAGAATCCAAATAATTCGTAGGCTTTTAAGAGCCAAGAGCTTTAGGCAAAAGCGCTCTCTCTTCAGGGCAGAAGGGAAAAAAATAATAAAGGACAATATCATCGTTTCAGTTCTCTTGTAGTCCAAATAATAATTCCTCTAAGGAGTTGCCTATTTGCCATAGAAATCACCGCATCTGCGTCTTGCAGTGGGGGTTGAAAGGCGTTGAGGGCTCTGTACCTCTGGAGGCCTGTGAATGACATGGCCTCTCCCCCTTCAAAGGTCTGAGGGCGTGTAGGTTGAAAAGCGGCTTCTGGTAGATGGGCTGTTTGAACAAGGCACGCTCGGGGTGTGACTGGCGGGGTGTATGCTTCACGGACGTTGATGTGGTGGTTCCCAGGGCAGCTTGCTGTCCGGCAGCCTCGGTTGAATTCCCAGCTCCCCCATTTCCCTGCTGGGTAGTGCCAGGCCTGCTCCTGTCCCTTGGCTTTGTATTCCTCGGCGGGAGTGACAGTAGTATTTTCATCATGCGCGGTGGCTTGGGTGTGAAAGGCTGGCAGGCACGCGAGGTGGGATTCCTCCCTGAAAACGAGGAAGACCCTCAATGAGATGGATTGGCGGACGGTTGCCGCAGTTGGCTCCCACACAGCAATCGGGAGGAAGGTGCAGGACCAGGCGGGCCGTGGTCCCTTCTCTTGTGCCTGGGTGGCCGTGTTGTTGCCGACAGTGAGTTGTTAACAACTTGTGCAGGAAGTGCGCAGCGACCGTCTCGTCTCGTGAAGGGTTGACATTACGATTAAGGAAGCTGTCTCAGGGTCAGAGGCTTGTTGGGACGTTTTGCTGACAGCATGCTTCTAGGAAACAGATAACATCTCCATTCTTTTGCTCACTAGTGGAATGACACTCATCAGTGTCCTAAAAGGTGCTGTGAGCATTCACAGTGCCTGGGGACGGCTGTCCGGCACTGGTGGTACTGGTAACTTACTGAGCAGCGAAGACAAGCCCAA